AGCCATGGCCACTGAGCCTGCGTGTCCAGAGCCCGTGCTCCACAACAGGAGAGGCCACCACCAGGAGAGGCCCCCCTACCCCCAAAAAAAAAAAAAAAAAAAAAAGTGAAATAAAATAGTACAGAGGGAATTCCCTGGTGGTCCAGTGGTTAGGACTCAGCGCTTTCAACGCCGTGGGCCCAGGTTCAATCCCTGGTCAGGGAACTAAGATCCGACAAGCCATGTGGTGCGGCCGAAAAAAAAATAGTATAGAAAAAGAATAAATTCTTCATATGTTATAAAGGTAAGTTATACTTCATGAAACTTTTGTTTCAATTACATATACATGTTAGTGTGTGCGTCCGTGTGTACGCGCACATCTATATTCGGTTGTTAAATAAAATATACGTTACTGTGGATCACAGTCTGAAAAAAAATCTGATCGATATGATGACTAAAAAGTCAGCTCTTTGGTTCCTTCTTGTCATTTGGGTCCTACCTTGCTTGGCCTTCCTTACCCATTCCACTTAATGTTGCCTCCTCCAAGGGATTTATTCTCACACTACCTTGTTTTATTTAGTGATTTACAGTACTTATCAATATTTAAACTATCTTATTGTTTATAAGCTTTCTCCCCCTCTAGAATATAAGTTAATGAGAGATCTTGTTCCCTGCTGTGTTCCCAACACCTGAAACAGTGTCTGCCCACTTAAAATACCCACTCAATAAGTATTTCTTGACCAGATGAACTCTGTAAATGAGTAACTTGCCAAAGCTCACCTAAGTTAGATTAAACTACACTTTAGAATCATGAGTATCTCACGTCGGTGATCTCTCTAATATAATCATCACTTCCTGGTAGGCCTATGGCTTGGATTCCAGCCTTCCACTTCCTAGTCCTGGACCATGGGAAAGTTAGGTAATCATACTTTCACCACTAGTAAAAAGACATGCTTAGTTTTGGGACAATAAGAATCTGATAAAACAGTGAACCAATTTGCTTTTAGTTTTGGAAAGATGAGCGGAGTATTCATTTAATAAGAGTTTAGGAGCAAAGAAAAATTCACCAGATCCATATCAGGAGAAATACAGGAAAGCTAGAGGCTTTAGGTTCATCCACATTTTAAATGTGAACCATCTCATAGCTCCATACGGTTCAAACCCTTCTGGAGAAGGTTAACAGAAAATTCAATGGGAAGGGAAAAAATGGGGAGCAAAATGAATGGGAAAGTCATATTCACAGCCCAGATTTGCTGGAGAATTTGTGAAATGTCATAGTTAGGAGATGAATTTGATACTAGAAGTCTATACAGTAAGTCCCCTACATATGAACCTTCAAGCTGCCAGCTTTCAAAGATGTGAACGTGCATTTGCATGTCCAATCACGTAAGTTAGTTCATGTGTGTTGTGTACATGGTCACGTGTGTGCATCCTCCACAAGTGGTTGTGCTTTTGTGTACTTTACTGAAAGGTACTGTATAGACTACAGTAGTACAGTATCTGTATTTCAAACTAGATCTGTAAGAGGACGACTTCTTTGAATTCCTTGCTGTGAACCACAAGGAGTTTACTAATGAAGACCTGATGGAATTGGAGGCCCAGAGAAAGGACGAAGAGAGACAAGAGGAAGAAGTAACTGAAGAACCGAAGAGATTCACGACGCAGGAAGTGGCAAAGCGGATTTTCTTTACTTGAGGAGGCACTGTTAGTTTTTGAGGCACAGGACCCGAATGTAGAACGGTACACGAAGGTTGCAACAGCCATACAGAATGCAATTCAGTGCTACCGTGTCATCTATGACGAGAAAAAAAGAGCTACTGCCCAGACGTCACTGGATTGTTTTTCAAGAGGTTAGACAGAATTGAATCCAGCAAGGCTGGATCTTTTTTCAAGAGGGTAGGTAGAATTGAATCCAGCAAGGAACCAGAACCTGTGCCGTCAACATCAGGCCTGAGTGAAACTGCAGCTTGCCCTCTGTCTCCTATCGCTGACGATCCTTCAGCTCTACCATCTCCCACCCCCTCTCCCCGCTCCAGTCAGTAATTCTTCTTGCCTGTTCACTCGATGCCAGCCCCTGGATGCCTACTGTCATACTGTACTACTGTACTTTTCAAGGTATAAAAATGTTTTCTTTATTTTCTGTGTTTGTTTTTAATATATTATTTGTGTGAAAAGTATTATAAACCTATTACAGTACAGTACTGTATAAGCTGTTTGTGTTAGTTGGGTACCTAGGCTAACTTTGCTGGACTTAACGAACAAATTGGACTTAATGAATGTGCTCTGAGAATGGGACTCATTTGTATGTAGGGGACTTACTGTATCAGCTTTCAGTGTAAATCAATGCCCTTCCTGAACCCCTCTAACGCTGCGAATGTGTGCTGTGAACACACATGTACACATGGTCTTGGAACTCTGGGGAACTGCTCTGCTTATCTAATGGTATCAAAGTGATATTCACTAGATAACCCCAAGTCACTTTGTTCCTATTTCTGGGATAGTAATGTTTTTTTTTTTTTTTTTTTGCGATATGTGGGCCTCTCACTGTCGTGGCCTCTCCCGTTGCCGGACGCGCAGGCTCAGCGGCCACGGCCCACGGGCCCAGCCGCTCCGCGGCATGCGGGACCCTCCCAGACCGGGGCACGAACCCGCATCCCCTGCATCGGCAGGCGGACTCCCAACCACTGCGCCACCAGGGAGGCCCGGATAGTAATGTTTTAAGTAATGGGAAGAGTAGAGGACAGACAGTACCAACTCTGGAGTCAGAGTGCCTGGATTTAAACTCCATGTCCACTATTTATTAGCTGTGTAATTTTTGACATATTCCTTAATTTCTCTGAGCCTGTTTCTTTATTTGTACGTTTAGAGACCTCACAAAGTTATTATGTTGATAGAGTTATTAACACACATGAAGACCTGGCACATGGTAAGCCAGAGTGTTTACTAGGTATCACAATCCTTATTCTACGTTCTTTAAATGCTTTTTCCTCTAATGCTCATAGCGATCCTGTGAGGCAGGTTATTTTAAGACATCCCCTCTCCTCCATATTGATAGGAAAGTGTGAGCCATGAAGAGGTTAAGAAACTTGCCCATGTATTCACAACTAAGTGGTAGAGCTAGGATTAGAATGTAATCTTAGTCACATGCTTAAACCAGGTTTCCTAACAACCATGCAAATATAGGCAATCTAGTATCCCAGAAATTATGATTAATCAACAAGCTATCTCCACTCTGCTGCAGCTGCCCTAATAACTATATCAAAACAAGGGATTACATTACACAAACGCACACATATATCTATCGTATCCATCACGTGTTGCTCTTCCAAAGAGGTTGAGAACCAAGGCACTGCAGTACCTTTATGAAATTTTGTTTCCATGCCTTTGTATCCTCCCTTCCAGGCTGGTGACCCCACAGAGAAAACAAGGAGCTATGTTTCATTTATCTCACAGAAGACTCACTTAGCACTGTTAGTGAAAAGCAGTTGGTTTTCAACAGAGATTGTTGAACAAATGAAAATGCATGAGAAAGCGTTCTGTAAAATCACAAAGTACAAACCAAGTTTTTATAAAGTCAACTTGTTATATAGTTATATTTATTTTTATATTTCATTTATATATTATTATATTTAGAAAAATATAAAGTTATAGTCAACTTTATAATACTTGTTGAAGATTCACAATGTGCCAGGCTAAAGTCCTTATCGCCTTATTTTAATCTTCATCACAACCCCTTTGAAGTAGGTACCATTATTTTCATAGAAGAGGGCATGCTTAGGGTCACACACTAGGAAGTGTTGGAGCCAGAATTTTAACTCTTTCAATTTCTGTATCAGACTCCTTTTCTATATTATAGAAGGAAAAATATTATTTTAGAATATGTAAATTTCAAAAACCATGAAATTCACCCATTCAAATGTATAATCCTGTAGGTTTCAGTATAGTCACAAATTGTGCAACCATCATCACAATCTAATTTTAGAACATTTTCATCACCCCCAAAATAAATTCCATACACAACAGCAATCAGATCTAAACTACATATACTTTACATTCATAAAAGATATATAAATTCTTTTAAATAAAGCCTCCATTAAATATATGTGTGAATGTATATTTGATACAACTAATGCAAAAGGACGTCATGAAATGACATCTAAAGGAAAAATTATGACTTCGTTGGCCCTCTGTAATTTTGCATTGGCAATATCACCATCCACTTGAGTAGGGCACGTAATCAAGGCCTAAAATCTACATTCAACTCTTATTACTATGGGTCAAACTCTAATTTCAAGGACTTCTTAGCATTTGTGTAATCATAACCAAATAGTAAGACTAGGAGGGAATGTAGATAAAAGTTTACCACCCAGCTGCCTTTGATACTCACTCTGCTATATTAGTGTCAAAGACAAAAACTTAGGAAAATAAAGTCACAGAAGTTTTGGAGATGTAAACTTCCTTTTTCAGCAAGATATGTTCATGCACGTTTTCTAAGAAGCTATACCACTGTACTTGACAATTTACAACAATCATTAAAGCATAATAAATTCTGCATCCACCCCAAATAATGAAAAGGAACTCACTGTTGGTAAATGCATATTCTTCTTCACTTTCATCACTGTCATCAGATGGAGCTTTATAAGGAGGCGGCAGTTTCATTGGAGGTGGAGCAGTTCCTCGCCTCTGAAGATTCAAAATTTGAGAGAAGCGATAATTATCTTTGTGTAACTTCCTCCTCAATGACAAACGGGATAAAAATATTTTGACTCTATCCAACTTCCATCACATCACTGGGATTGTAAAACAAATACAATTCATTCTCTTATGTTTATGTTATTATGTAAAAGTGACTCTGTGATGTAAACACACCAATACAGAAAACAGGAATTCAAAGGCACAGCTTTTAAGACTGTTAACCTACCCAGAAGAATGAATTCCTTTCTCCAGTGAGGAAGTCAATTATATGTACTTTCTTTACACTGCTGAGGCTTAGTTTTCTTTATTTCTGACCAAATAACTCAAATGAAAAACATTTCAAAATTAAGTCTAAATGTAAAAACTACCCAATGTGTTAATCCTACAATTATTTAAACTTTTTATTCAACTGTAGAAGGTACAGATTTCATTCTTTAAAAACTACTTGAAATACCAAGATTTTCTAACCAAAGAGTTATTCATCTACAATTTATAAAGAGTCAACACACATTTTAATGTTTGAAAAAAGAAAGAGAAAGCTTTATGATGAATATTTTTTGTATTTCTGTATAAGTATTCTTTAAATTTACACACCAAATGATACAGCACATCAATATTTGGTTCAAATAGGCTTAATTAAAGTAGACTTTATGATCAGATTACCTTCACAGAATGTTGACATTTTCCTGAACGCTGGGAAAAATAAAACATGCCCAACTATGGAGAGATCCAAGCTGCTGGAAAGAATGAGAGCCGATACACACAAGCACTCCACAAAAGCCAAAATAACCAGATTAAGATTTGTTTTGCTACAGGATTTCAATAAAGTACAATCAATTAGGCTTTATAGGACAAAGCCACTAATGGCAGGATACACTTCAGTAAATGGACAATGACTGGTCCATTACAGAAAGCAGGCATGTAATAAATTCCTCCAAAATAGAAAACAATATTTGGGATCCATAAAGAAAAACACACACCCAAATTTATTTAAGATAATGTCTAACCAAAACAGTACTTTGTACATTTATAGAAAATCCAAAAATCAATAAAATGCAAGAGTGATGAAGGAAGAGAAGATGCCAAATACAAAGTACTTGTTAAGCAACAAAAGAATTCAGAAATGTGATCATGGTGTCTCTTTAATTCTTGTTTGAAAAAACTTAAAAGTGAGTTAAATGAAGAATAATAAAGGCAAATGAATTTTCAGCAAAACTTTTCCTCAGACCAGATCATTCTAAGTGAAAGACAATGCTCAGAACAAGGACAGCCAGCTTTTAAAATAGTTTTAAGGGGGCTTCCCTGGTGGTGTAGCGGTTAAGAGTCCACCTGCCGATGCGGGGGAAACGGGTTCGTGCCCCGGTCCGGGAAAATCCCACATGCCGCGGAGCGGCTGGGCCCATGAGCCATGGCCGCTGAACCTGCGCGCCCGGAGCCTGTGCTCCGCAGCGGGAGAGGCCACAGCAGTGAGAGGCCCGCGTATCGCCAAAA